CTTGTCGCCGTCCTTGTCGCCGTCCTTGTCGCCGTCCTTGTCGCCGTCCTTGTCGCCGTCCTTGTCGCCGTCCTTGTCGCCGTCCTTGTCGCCGTACCTGTCCTTGCCCCTCGTCCTTTTTTCTTCCTTTTCGTTTTTGGTGTGGTCCGTAAGCCACCTTTTTTTTTCGTTTTCGTCTTCTTCTGAGTTCTTCTCACGGCTTATCCTTTTTTTCTTCTTCCTCCTTTTCCAACCTCTTTTTCCTCTCATTATCATAACATCCGTTGCGTAACTTTTTTCATTATTTACTGGTTTTAGCACACGAACCAGACTTTTTTTTACATATTTTCTTCTTTTTTATCATTGTAGCTGGTGGGAACATTTTCGTCGAGGAGGAATTCAACCAGCAAGGCGTCAAAGCAGTCTTCATCTTCAGGCTCCATAAGAGTTCGAAATAATGCTAAAGCGGTAGATTTCATTAGGAATATCATTTCCGTGGATTCTACTCCTATAGATAAAATTTCAAAATTAGCTTTTCCATTGTCTTTTATTTTGTTCAACATCGTATATTGGATTTGTTATAGTGTTTAGAATATTCATAAAAACAAACTTGAGTAAGCAAACTTGAATTACTTTAGATGTGTCATGATATATCATGATAAATCAGTATATGATATACATTATATATAGTAATATAAGCGTATGTATTGATGACGTAATTGATACGTCTGTGGGGAAAAAAAGACGCATTTCTGAGGCGTTGTCCAATATATTTTCTATCGGGCGCAACTATTGCTTTCCATAAATCGTATCAGTTAAAGAAAACATGCCTTCGCTTGACTGAGTTGCTGTCCTGGTCATTTCGTACAGTGGGTTGATAATGCTAACCTTGTAAAAATGAGGAACATAATCATCATCTAGTAAAAGGGTGGAAAGTTATTTCAAAACCATGGGGTGTGGTTGCCAAATCTTCACGAGCCAGGGCCTCATGTATTAGGCGATTGAAAGTGTTATTTAGTTTTCTCCAACGTCTTGGCAAACTAGTTTGTATTTGTGATAAAAATGAAAAACAGTGTTAAAACCCTATACGCTGGTGTTTTTGTTTGGCTAGTAGAACTTTCCTCTCGTGCCCAACACACAAACCTCTTGAGCCTTGTTTGACATTTATTGACGAGGTAGAGAATGTCAAGGTCTGATGTCCACAAATATCTCCACACGTTGCGAAAACTACTTATAATATACAAAGTAGACGACATAAAACTGCTTCTTCAATATTACGTGGTGATAAGGTTTAAGAGTGATATTCCAGGTTACCGGTTCTTATACTGTCATTAGTTGCTACACAATGTGGAAAGGATGTCCCTAATATTGATTGAATCCCATGCAAGTCTACCTCCTCCACCTACTAACCTCACAACGTGCAAGGAATTTAATATGGAAAGTCGCGAGTTTGAAATGATGCTTGAGAGGAATAAATAGTGTTCTTCAAAAGAATGTGGCGATAACAAAGACAGTACAAGTAAAGCTTTTTGTAAGGTATCAGTGTGGGCGTGGAATTTTCCTATCGTCGTAACCTTTTTAACATGTGCAATCCATTTTCATTTGTGAGAAGATCGATATACTCTGATCTTTGAGCTAGAAATGTGATTTTTTTTGTATTTTAACTACTACCAAACAGCTCTACGAGAAACCTACAACCTTGATGACTGCAGTAAACTGTCTGCATCAAATGAAGCAAGGGACGCAAGGCTCTCATTAGCAAAAAAAATTTTTCTCCTGCAATTAAGTTAATGTTCAATAATTTAATGTCAATATTTTATTCAAGGGACTGTCTTAATTGGAGATACCTGTGACGGTATCCCTTACCTCTCATCTGCCTGTAATTTGTTTATATTTTTCATTTTTTTAAACTATGATTTGATGTGAGGTAAATGGTAAATAAAATGAAATAAAATAAAAACAGAAATCCAAGCTCTAGATTCTATATATGACATGGCTCGCATAATCTATGTTTCGTTTTTTCGAATGATAAATTACAGACATTTTTTGAATGCTGATATATATAGTGCTATGCTATAGACTAGTTAAATGAATTTTAAAATAATTCATTATTTGTGCACTGCATGGATTCATGCAAACCTGTGGATTCCAGTGTACAATTAGGGTATTGTGTTATCGATATGCAAAGGTTGGGGTTTGACAGGAGGCAAATACATAATGAACCAGAATTATCGATCAAATGAAAATAAACACTAAAATAAATAAAAGAACTAAATAAATATCTTAAATGTCTAGTCATTCTAGCACTTTCGAACTAATTAATTGGGGACACATTTCACTCATATGAAATTCCACCATACATTCAATGTTCTTTGCACACAACGCACAACTCACATGTTGATTTTTACGGAGGGGGAAAACGGAGAACCATGAGAAATCCCTTATAGCATAGGAGAGAATAACACACCAAACAAACTCATTTCATATTGTACCGCTGTGTTCATTGATTACTGACTCATTTACCCAGGCTAAGTTTCATTTGGGTGTTAAAATATCCACATACCACATATTCAATGCCAAATGCAAAGTGAAGAATGCACTAATGCGACAATGAAAGAATGAAATTCCAAAAGGCTTTTCTGTTGTTCAGGGTTAGCCTCAGAATATTAGTCTGCTCCAGAAATGTCCAAAATCGAGTATATTGAATAGCAAATATAACGTCTCTCTAGTGCTCAGCTAAGATCGTTTCAAGCTTAATCATAATCTTTGAAATCTCTCATTAGATAAACATCTCAAAACATTTAATTTTTTAGTCGTTTAGCTTGTTGTGTAATTACGAAGATTTATTTACTTTTGCCGATAAAAGTTTTATGATTCTCAAATAGGCTGGCATCAAGCACTTAACTAAATAAATAAGAAACATGCACTTGTGGCCAATAAGACAACGATTTGGATAGGGGAAATAGTAAATGTTTTGCATTAATAATAACAAATGTTTTGCAAATGATCAGGTGAATTTTCTTCAATATTTTTTTAGCCTAGCGCGAAACAAATGTCAGATTTTTTATCTTTTTTCTTATTTTATTTTTTATTTTGATTTTGATTCATTTTCTAGTTTATTTTATAACATAGGCAAACACTTCCCAAAGGTAGTAATATCATAATAATAAAGTTTTTGACACTCCAGCTTTACTGAAGAAAAAGAAGATTCCCTTCATGACTATTGTTCTATTGTTCATGACTATGAAAGAACTCTACAACTTTTAGTTTGAAATTTCACTAAAACAAACGAATGATCGAAGTTAATGGGTGAGAGAACGGCCGGAGCATGAATAGCAGATATCAGAGTTACACTCTATTGCCTTCAGACAATTGTTACATTGGGGTCAGTTTCTATACATTTTATTGTATTGACCAAAATGCCTCGACTTGAAACAATAGACCTATCACGAATTCGCTTGACTGACCACGAAACAATGGTTTGAAGTCGAGACTGAACTTGATTCTTTTATTCATCAAGTTCAACCTCGACTTGAAACCATTGTTTCGTGACCAGTCAAGCGAATTCGGGATAGGTCTATTGTTTGAAGGCAACAGAATGTAACTCCGATATCTGCTATTCATATAAAATCTTTATAAAATAACGCACTTGGCTTTGTAAGTAAATAAGAATAACTGTATAGACCTCATAACGTGAGATACACGGCCTTCCTGCTCTGATTGCGAATTTTAAGGTGTAAGTTTTGATCATTTCGAGTCGAAGTTATATAATAAAACAGTAATACGTATCTTTACACGTATACATTTAAATGTGCATGGATTAAGATGAAAATACAAAAAGTACAACTTTTTTCTCGATGGAATTTGTGGTATTTCTTTTGTACTCTCATGTTAGCCTCGCACTCAAGATAATTGTGAGAATGGTTTATTCGAACTCGTGAAGTATAAATAATTTCAAATCATATCTTCTTGATAATAAGAGGCAATGAGGTTACAAGGCATATTTAAAGCATATTCCAGTTAAAGTTCAAAGTCATGTTTCGTGATTTCTTTCTAATCGAAATATAATATTTTATCAAGATTATTTTAATCAAGCTCTTTAAATTCTCTAATGCCTTATAAGTTTTTATAATTATGCTCTAATGAGGTCTAAGTAGAAGATACATGATGCATCATTATTGGATGATCGAGCAAAACAATTTTAAAAATAAACACTGTCTTGTGTCCCCAGCCACGGGGAGTCACTCATCAACGGAACATCCCCTTGCAATTTTCATAACATCATCAGTCTCACAATTAATTGTTTTGGTTCGTATAAGAATGAAAACAGCTCGCCGATTAAATATAAATTTCAAGGGCTAGCGAGATTTAGATAAACTGGAGACAGTTCGACCAGATGCGCGAGGTTGAAGTACAGTTCTTAAACAGACCCTAAATTCCTGAAGGTAAGAATGGCTCAGTTATTGCGGGGTTTTTTTCCATTGCCTTGACGAAACAAATTATTTTAAAAAATCACGCACGCTTAGTTTTAAGTTCGCTCTAAAAATGACTTTTTACATCTTAATACTGATACGCGAGTGGAAGATTCTGGAATTTTACAAGCAGGTGTTTGGAGCTTAAAACAGCTCCCATCGTGATAGTTAAGACTGCTTTGATAGTACCGATATGCATCAGCTCTAGAGGCTCTATTTTAACACCTAGCGAACATGCCGCGTGCCTTCATTACAGTACGTAAAACAGTACACGAGAAGTAAGACCTTTGCCTTTCCTTTTCAATTCTCATCCACCCTCTTACTTTTTTTTTCTTAATGTAACTTTTACACTCACTTTTCCGTTTCTGGAGGTATTGAAGAACATACCCATGCGGCCTGCAAACCCTTTTAAATTGCAGTGCATTAAAAATACGTGTTTTTTTTTTTTTAATGTACATTATAAAATTTCTAATTTCTTGCTATAGCCTTATAAAAACTAATTGCAAGTCAAGAAAATATTTTTGGGAAAACATTCGAAATCAGAAATTAAAATCCAAACCTTTTGGACACGTCCAGCCTATAAATTTCAATTCCTTGGAATGTATAGAAATATTATCGTAATATATGGCATGCAAATATATTGTTAGGAATTACAGCACCTTTGTAGCTCAGTCTTCCTTTTTTTTTTTTTTTTTTTTGATTAGTTGCCGTTTTAAATCCGTGTGAATATTATAGCAGAATTGGTAGAAATGACAAAAGATGGTGATTTGGTCAAATATGAAAACATGTAAAGATGACAGATGATCTTTAGTCGAAAAAAAAAGCCGCTTTTTACTTCAAAATGCAATGTTCAATGCAACTATTTTAATATTTTCAAAGTGGACTAGTGTGGAAACTGTCCGAAATTTTACTTAGCTAAAACTTTACTGTCTAGGATAAGTTTTAAGGATCAATTTCTGATTAAAGTTTCGATTTTTACGAATTTTTATAGCAGTCATGCATTGACGTCATCTACTCAACACCTACCATATTTCAAATCTCTAAAAATCTATGTAAAAACAGTATTTCAATTTCACGTCTCCTTAATCAACATCGTAGAAAAAATGCTTCTGATCTACATCAAAAAATGCTCACATCTCATGGTTTAACGGTACTGATTTAAAGTGCAAAACGTAAAAGTGGCTGCCTCGTGAAGTGTTTTGAAACAATATATCTGCAGTGGATGTCATCCAGAAATACGTTTCATTATAATATTATTTAGCTATTAATAAATGATAGACCACATTTCTTTCGAACACCATATTTTCAAACTTTAAGTACAGGGCTTAGATTATTTAAGATAAGAGGATTTTGAAATGAAGGATTGAAAAACTGAACTGGAATATCCTCTCTTTAGTTCTTAAAGCAACTGCGAATTTCTGCCATAGATTCGGCCAAATATTCAGCACCTCAGACAAAATGCATAACGAGTCCTCCGATTGGCTGTGTAGAACAAAAGAACGACGATATTCCCGCAAAGTTTTCAAAATATTCAAGAGCATTAAGAGCTTCTAGAAGACTCTGCAGTGCAAATGACCAACTGTCCTTTTTTCATGCTTCTTTCAAGCTTTTGTCCAACCTCAAAAGCTTTCATTGTTCATATTACACTGCTGTACTTAAGCAGAGTTTCCTTACCGCACAACGTGTGTCAGTATCAAGCACTACACCATCACAAGCGGATTCAAAAATTCATTATTTTCCAAATAAAGTCGAAAAGGTGAAAAGGATCCTTAGCATTATAACTAGAAAAACGGCAGTTAGTCTAGTAAGATCTTGATGGAATTTAATTTTACATACGTAGTGAGATGTTAATTAGAGTCGATGATTTGTTGATCAGTTTAATACGTTTTCATCACATCTTGAGCTAAATGCAATGGTTTTTGAAATCCACTTGGCTATTGGATCAAATTTATCTTATTAAAGTTGAATCGCTTGTCCCGTTGTGCAAATTAAGATTCGGTCAAAATAAATTCAAAATCTCAAGAGGAGGTAAAATCTGCACCAATTATCTACTCGAAGACTTATCAGATGTTTCTTTGTACTGCGATTTCCTTTGATTTTAAAGCTCTATTACTGGAGTGATCTGTCCATTACTTTCCATTAATACGCGTCTCCTAACATACTTGATAACGACTAGCTGAAAAACATTCTCGAAGAAGCAAAGAATGAATAAACTTGTTTCGAGAAGGATGTCAAGAGGTTTCTCCCAAAAGACTGTGAAAGATTGAATGCTAAAGGTAAGAGCTCACTAGAGAATAGTATGCTATGGATAGATGTTTAACGTTCCATCTATGCAAATGAACTAATAAGAAAATAAAATTCAGTACTGAAATTAAAGCCAACTTGGTTTTAAATAATATTTTCATTGTTCAATCTTTTGTTTTATGCCATTCAAATAGTCTTAATACAATTCTTGTCGTTATGGCCAAATAAAAACCTCGTTTTTCCAAGGAAGGTTTTTTCCCCAAACGTGCATTATGCATACATGAGAGGTAATCGTTTGAAGTCAATTTCATTACTAACCACAAAATGAAAAATTAAGATAAGATATAACTTCCATGCGAATTCAGTGAATCAAATGATAGATGTTTTCGTAGTTTTTTAATTAAAGTCCTGAAATTGATTGAATAACTGAAAAGGAAAGTGGCAAAGGAGAATTAATACTGTAGCAATGCGAGTTTTGCGGCCAGCAGAGATAAAAATATATGAAAGCTACTCTGTATACGCGGCATACACTCACCTTTTATCTTTTTTTTTTTTTTTTTTTTTTTTTTTATTTTTTACGTCGCTCGCTTTTTTTTTTTTTTTTGTTCGTTGTTTCATTTATCCTTTAAATAAAAAGGGTCAAAAGCTCACTCACTCGTTAGCCTGCCATCATACTTTTTTACATGACTGCAATATATTCAAGATGAACATCATATAGACGTGTCTACTATTGTTATCAATATTTGTAACACTGGCGTCGTATTAAGATTTACATTTGTTTTTGTGATTCCTGTTGAATTATTTCAATATCATTATATTTCTTAAACTTATAGCGTAGTTGTTTTTTGACCCCAACGGAAACAAGATGTATCATATAGCAGTGAGATCTTGAATTCTTATGTGAGTCTTACTAAAAGTTTGATTACGATATTGATACAACAAAACAGCAGTCATAGGGCGTGCGTACTCTCAGACTCGCATGGTCTGGCTGGTAAATTAAGTACTGACATTTCATGCTCCCCTGGAACGGGGCAATCAAACTTAATAGTACAAAGACAATAATACAAACGAGCATGAAAAAGATATATTATTTTTGCCGAATTTTCTCCATATGGGAACTCGTTGGGACATGATATAAAATGCATAATGTATCAGGGATATGAAATCCAGTTTAACAATTCGCACTACGTTTATGATTTTGAATGATTCTGACCCGACTCACAAATCGCCATGGATAAAATCATTGCATACCAACTGCAAACCTTAATCTCAATTTGATTAAATTACGCTGAAATGTAAACATACACTGAGCTCTCCAGTAATCCTTGTCTTTTTGTCTGGAAAACATTCTTACCAAAACGCTGTAGTACTAAACAAACAGCCGACACCAGAAACAAATTAATACAGACTGATGAACGTACTCCAACGCAATTCAAGAAATCTGGACTAAATACCTGCTGGCCCTTGTGAACTATCGCTTTTTTAATCACCTGGTTTTGGTATAAGTTGCTTCTTTATTGCTGCACGGGTTAATTGCTTTTCAAAGAAAGGCTAATAACCTAGCTTCAAGGTGTTACGCTCGCAAGCTAGTTAACTATCAAAGCTGCCAGTGAGAAGTTGTTTGGTGAGTATAACTGAATTGACATATTCTTCTCTTTTACGTAAAATAGCCATGGAAACTTTGTTTTCAGTTTTATGTTTTCTTAGCTTTTTTTCTCCCTACCACCCTATCACCCTAAACCCCCTCTTTTTCAGTTTTTTAGTAACTTCAAGGATTCTCAAAACCACTGTACATTTTAACTTTAAGCTTCATTACCAACTAGCTAATAATTACAACTGAAGTTCTGTATATAAATCTAGGATGCAAAAATTTAAGTAAATTCAAAAAATAAAAAACTCATGAAATTAGTTGTGATCACGATGAAAAAATCTCTATTTAAGGATTGATCGACTAAAGGACTACTATGTTGAATAGCTTGATCAGGGTCTGACAGATGCTACCGGCCAAGTAGTTATAAAGCCAGTTTATATTATTCATTTTGAAAATTTCGGTTGCATTTTTTTCAACAAACGAGTTTTATTAGGATCTAGCTTTGGTGCAAACGACACCATATATGGCATAAAGGGATGTGTGCATAAGTACGAGAAAGCACAATTTTAGACGGCATCTTCGTTGTCATGGCAGCAATCCGTGAAAGAAGGTTGTCTGTATTCTCTACTTTTATATCCCCATAATACTTTGCGTCTTTGGGGGGCAACCAGAGGGTAAAAACCCACTCATTTTGCTGAAGGTTGATCAGACAATGTTGACTATACCTTGTTTGGTTTCCAAAAGTAAAATGAAGAATTAAAAAAAGAAAAAAACAGAAAAAAATAGAAGCTTGAAGACGTTTAAGGTAAATTTTAAACATTTGTCAATACATTTTCTTTAAGACCAAAACTCTTGATGATCTGTATAATCAAAAATAACTTGGAATAAACTGATAATCAGTATTGTACAGATAAAAGCATAGTATAGTATAAATTCAATTAAGAAACCTTTCGATTTGGGACAGTTTTTTTTGATTGGTTACCCCCCAAAGATGTAAGGCATTATGGGGTTGTGAAAGTAGAGAATAAAAAAAAATTAAACACGAAAATCTGCTTACATATTTTCTTATTAGAATGACATTTATACACTGATTTATTAGGATATCTATTCATTTTCCAATTCTAATCTGATCATGCATCCTCCTTGATAATAACTGTTTTCTGAGACTGTTCTGAAAACCATAGACCAAACACGATCATGATTACCACAGAATAAGAATAAATGCATAGCCATTATATCTTTAGTTGTTTTTATATTACGATTATTAATCCGGTATAGTTCCGTTACACCAATAATCCTAGAAATACGAATGTAATAATAAATCAAACAGTTAGACAAAACAGTTCTCAAAACTCTAATTTACTGAGGGATAGATTTGTGATAAACACCTGCAGACGGTGTTCCTTCGTTTGAAGTCTGAGGGGATTAAGGATGTTTCTCTATTTGTTTGTCATTCGTAACTGTATAATCGATGCTAGGGATAGCCTTCGCTAGTTTTGTGCTGTTCAGATTTATTGCCTTTGTTAGACGGACGGTATGCTTAGATTTCGATGCGCTTTCTCGATAATATATTATGAAGCAATATCCGTGCGTGCACTTGGTGTAGGATCGTTAACAAAAATAATTGATTCGTGTTTTTGTCAATTGGAAAATCGTGCTATTTCGCGCCACTGATATTTGGACAAGTAATCCAATTAATACTTCAAATATTATATTGAATGGTATTACAATCGTTATTATATATAAATTCATCGTTTCACATGAGAGAAATATCCTTATTTAATGGCTTTGAGTGAGATAAGATCTACTGAGGCAGTATGCGTATTTGGTAACAGAGGCAAAAGTCAAGTCAAACATTGCCTTGCTCTAGTGTGCTATAGTGTCATGTACGTGATTCGAGTAAGTAAGTTGTAGGCTTCTAGAAAATTTGTCTTTTTTTCAATTATTCATGGACATCCAGTTATTATCAGCTGTAAACGTCCTTGTTGTGATCATTCTGATTGATATTAAAGTTTATCATAACGGGTTTGCGGCAAAATTTTATTGAAAGAGCGTGAGAATAGATAAGTTCGTTCCTTATAAATTGGGAGAAATCTTTCCTTTCTGCTTATTTCATTAGTTCTTTCTCGATGCGTAAGTAGTTTTAAAACTTCAACGCCGCCACTTTAAGCTTTCAGTTGTCTTCAAACAAGGTAAGGGAAAAAATGTCCTGATTTTTTAACTTCGAGGAAAAAGGAAAAAGTATTTGAAATCAAACTTGTTATCAAAGCTGAATCAAGGCAAACGTTCAACGCCGGAGGTATCTCCAGTGGCTGATGTATGTGCGTGTGAAGCTTGCTTTGATACAACGCTAACGCAAAGACGGCTTACTAGTTGTTTGTAGAGTTAACTGCGAGGTTTTCGAGTCGATTCGCTTACTTTGAGACTAACAATGCTAAACGTCTCATAAGCAAAAAGACAGTTATGCTAAATATTCTTATTACTTGACAAAGAACTGAATTTTGAATTGCGTTTTGATAAAAAAATGAGACATTGTAATGGAAAAAAGGCTTATATTAACTACTGGCGATAAATTGTTGGACTATTCATTTTCTCACTTAAACTTTTAATCTGGAAAGGAACAATAATTCAGGATCGTCAATACACAAGATAAAATATTAACCTGCCCTTAGTAAAACTTTCAAACTACTGAGCTGTTCAAACACCAAACGAGCGGCCATGGCTGCAAGTGCATTTGCTGCTCTTCTTTTAATTGGCTAAGAAAGAAGCGTGGGACTGCTGTTGACCAATCAGATGATTTAAGAATACAATTCCAAAACGCGAGTTTCGTAACGCCGGTTTTGTTTTGAATTTTGAAAACACGGTAGAAGGTCCAAGTTTTGACTTGCTAAACAGCAACCAGAATTTAGATAAGACAAGGAGCAACTGTACGAAACTTAGCAAAAAGCTCAAGCAAGAAACTGAAACAACAACAAATACACTTATAATGATTTATACTTGAATGGTGTGAGAAGCGAAAAATCTATTTCGCTTTGAAAAGCATTGCCCCAAAGGAATTTAACGAGATTTTGCCAAAAGTTAATTGTTTGCTGAGGTGAAAACTCCACTTCTATATCATCATCATCAGGTTTTCCCTCTCGGCCCGTCCTTGGCCTTAGGGTACAACTGCTCCGGGAAACGTCCTCTGAGCAGAAGTTTGAGCTTGGTTTAAAAAAAACTCTAAGATCAGTTGCTTTTTAACGGTGTTCCATTAACCAGAACGAAAGAAGCTAGCCAGGGTGCACCTGTCCTAAAGACGGAGATGGAGTATGGCTTGAGTGTGATAGGCGTATAGACTTGGATGGACTTATAATACTGTCTTCTAATTCTAGCGGATAATATCCGATAATCCGAATAATATCCGAGAGTTGCGCTTCAACACCCCATGCACCCCAAAACATA